CTCCACATTCGTTTCCTTACCTCCCCTACCCCAACCCTACCCCCCCCCCCCCCCAAAAAAAAAAAAAGAAAATACTCATTTGTTGAAATGAAAAAAAAATTTATCTAAAATATAAAAAAGAAAGTACTATTAATAATATTTTTATTTAGAGTGGGGTCGGGGTGGGGTGGGGTCTGTAGCGGGGGGTGTGGGAGTGGGTTGGTGGGGGTTGGTAAGGATGGGGAATAGGGCGTGAAAGGCTGAAAAGAGTTTTGAAAAATGTTTCCCCTTATCTTAATTTTATTTTTTAATTGAAGCCAGTTTCACCTCAGGCTATATTGACTTGTAGGTGTTGGGGGGTTTGGCATTGACTCCTACCTCGTATATTAATATCCAATAAGTGAACACATGAAGGAGAGGGATATGAGACCTTACCTCCTCGAATTGTACTTTTGAATTGGGCATTCCCAATTCATTTACACTAGTGTCTCTGTAACAGTAACAACCAAGAAGTATTGGTCCTAGTCTTAATACTACAGCTAGGGTTATATTATGTACCACAAAATTAGCATGGGAAAAGCTGGTCCCGTTACACTGTAACATCATATACATTAAGAAGGAAGAGGAAATATGGAACTATGTTTAGCTAATGCATCAGCTACTTGGTTAGCTTCCCTATAACAATGTTGAATCATGATATTCTACTTCATAATACCCTTTTTCATTGATTCGACTGCATATTCAAGACTCCATGGAACATTGATCTTTCCTAGTAACATATACAACAGAAATTGTGAATCTAATTCTAGGATAACATGTTGCTTGTTCATAAGTACACACCAATTTACAGCAAAGGAAGCTGCCTCAACTTCAGCACAATTGTTAGTGCAGAACCATAGAGCTTTAGCAAATGCCTGAATTAGCTCTCCATTTCTGTTCCTAACAACTCCTCCTAGTCCTGATGTCTTGTTTGTGCTACCATCAGTATTTATCTTCAACCAAAAATCAGGAGGTTTGTTCCAATTTACAATTCTACACATAAGATTGACTGTGATAGATGTGAGCGTTAGAATGTTAAAACACAAAATCAGAAAACTGTTAGAAGAATAAAAGAAACTGGAAAATAGTAGAGAATTAGAAATATTCCAAGTCCACAAGGTTCTTGTGTGTCCTTAAGGAATTTTAACCCCCTCACAAGTTGCCAAGGTAATGGATTAAATCCTCCCAGGATAAAACGGAATAAACCTTCCTGCAACAGTGGCAATACAAACTGCAGGATCCCAACGAACTCAAAGAACGGAGAAAAATCACACTTACGAATTGGAGAGAGAGAGAGAGACTGCGAATTAGGATGCAGTATATTCAAAAAGAAAGAAGTTCTGGAGTGTTTTTCGTGTGTAGAAAATGGAGCCTTGCCTCAGAATTTATAGGCAATTATCAGAAGAGGTGTCTGGAAAATGTGCCTTTTCAGAAGAATACGCTGCCTGCCGCGGTTCTACCGTGGTTACGGCAGAACCGCGGTCAGAGAGGCTCTCTGAATCTGCCTGCCGCGGTTCTACCGCGGTTACGGCAGAATCGCGGCCAGAGAGTCCCTCTGAATCTTCAGCAGGGTTCTAGCGTATTTTCAGCAGTGATTTGGCATTTAATTAATTATTAAATAATTAAATAATTTTTATCCAAAAATAATCTTATCGATCGATCATTTGACAAATCCAAATCCAAATCCAAATCCAAAGTCGAAGCCGAGCGAGCGACGACGACGGTGCGAGGGTTCATTCTCTTCAACTCCTTTTAAGAGCTTTAAGAAGTGATTCTATATATAAGCACACAAATGTGATTGTCCCTCACCAATGAGGGACAAAGTGCAAGACAAAAGTTCACTTCTTCAAATTTTCATTTTTCCCTCCATTTTATTTCCCTCCATTTCCAATTCACACTTCTTCTACTTTAAAGCCCAATGGCTTAAAGTCCAACAATGGACTCCATCTCCCTGCAGATATTTTGAACTAGTAGCTTCTTCTGGGAATTCCTGCACTTGGTGCCATTCCGGTAATGCATCATAGAGATTATATTCCGACCTCCCCTATGGACACCCATAGGACCTGCATAAAATTTCCATATATTAGTAGCTAGATCACCAGTGATAAAGACATGTTCAATAGTTTCATCCTTATGTTGATTGCTGCAGCTACAATTTGGTACAATAATTTGCCCTAAATTTTTAATAATTTCATCAAGATGAACTTTTCTTTTAACTAGCCTCCATAACATAAAAGACATCTTGAAAGGGATGTCTTTTCTCCAAATTTCTTTCCATCGTTTTTCCTATCCCTTCGCTTGATAGGGAAAACACTTTCCTCTAATTGGAGGAAAATGAGTTCATGTGGAAAATATTTTCCAAGACGTTTATGTATTGGGAAAAATTGAGTTTATATATATTAAATTGATTGGGAAATGAAATGTCATGACACGAAGGCTGGTCAAAGAATGACGACTAGCAAAGAGGCACGAGTTACAACGGATACGAGCAGAAATACAAGCAGAGGCCCGGGCAGATATTCAAAAGGCTCGACGCTCGTACCTATTTATATCCAAAAATTAGGGAGAATGAATCTGATAGAACAATAGAGTACAGATACGGTATTTGATAAGCATTAAATACCAGAAACATTAGAGAATCTATATTAAATTACAATGATTGTGTAACGCAGCATTTAATGACTTTAATTGTCCATAATGGCCTAATTATGACAAAGGCAAAACGTCTATCTTAGAGATAGCTATAAAAAGGAGAAGACTGGTCATTTGTAAGGACACGAAACACTATTGGAATACACTGATTTATTTTGCTTTCCTTTATTCATTTCATTATTAGCAAAATCAATTTCTATTATTCATTTCTTTGATTATCAGTAACCCGAGTTCTTCTAAAATAAAGCTTTGACCGAAATTCCATTTTTTGGTTAAACAAATTGGTTCCGTTACCGGGAATCTGAAAATCTATTCTTTCTTAACTTAGCCTTTTTTGTTACATCAACAACCATGTCAAATGTTAACGACAACACCCAAGGAAACCATCAACTCCAAGGGGAACCACAAGATGATTGCACTCCGATCCCTTCTCCACAAAGCTCGCCTCGGCGGTCTCGAGAAGGCACTCCTGATGGATCTCACTCAAATGCAAATGCTCAATTTGACAACGATGAAGCTATCAATGAAGCTTTGCAAAAGCTAATCGCTCAACAGGTCAACAAAGCTCTTGAGGCCTTTGCCAGCCAGTTACCTGTTACACCATCAACACCAATTCCAAATAACAACACTTTGGAAAACCCTCGTTCCGGGCTTGCTAATTCAGGCAGTGGTGGAATCCCCAGCGAGTCGCGAGATGGAGAACCAGGTAACTTAGTCAATTCCGATTTACAAAATTTAGTATTAATATTGCAGAAACAGCTCAAGGAGCAAAGTGACCGCATAGAGCAAATACCTGGAGTACCGCCTGTAATCAAAGGGATAGATATGGACAAATATTCACAGCAACCTTGGAAGCCAAGTGCTGCTCCTCTCCCAATTCCAAAGAAATTCAAAATGCCCGATATTCCAAAATACGATGGAACTGATCCACGAGACCACGTGACTGCATTCACAACTGGCGTAAAAGGCAACGACTTGACCAAACAAGAAATTGATTCAGTATTGGTCGAAAAATTCGGTGAAACACTCACTAAGGGAGCATTAACATGGTATTCTCTTTTACCCGAAATTCCATAAATTCTTTTGCTGAGCTTGCAGATTCATTTATCAAAGCACATTCGGGAGCTAAAAAAGTCGAAAAGAGAATGGAGGATATTTTCAAAATCAAACAAGGGGACTACAAGTTGCTCAGAGAGTTTGTGGATAGGTTCCGGCGTGAAAGAATGACGTTGCCACG